GGGAGTTCCAGCTGGACAAATACTGCAGGTCTTAACCTGAAGGTGGCATTGTTAGAATTCCTTCCTGTAACTCCACTGCTTCTCCCATACCAAATGCATTCACAGCTCGGGTTCAGAAGTAGTACAGGTCTCTCCTGCAAGCCTCCCACAGTGTAAGTGGTACTGAGATAGTGACCTCGGTGCATTTTGTCCATTTCTTGGTGTCCTCAGCTCACATCTCTAGTATGTATCCTGACAGCACATCTCCCTGGTCTGGCTCCTGCCAGGCTAAAGAAATGGTGGAGTTGGAAAAAACCACCAACTTCAGTAGTCCTGAAGGTGGGCAACAGCAGGAGAGCTGCGACACACTACTGTCCCCGCAGGCCTGTGCTGGCATATACTCCTATTTCAAGATGCCAAACCTGCAAGGTTTTAGAATGAAAGGAGCCTTAATAAACACAGAGCAAATGCTGTTCAACAAAACAATGCAGATCCCAGCACAGCACATACACGTAGCCCCTGTTCCAAGGTTGGCCATTTAAGAAAAATCCTCACAACATTTGACGTGGGACCATCTGAATTCAGCTTGGAAAGGGCACCTTCTGTGAGCACTGACCACCATTCATTCTCCACATGTGTTTGGGAGGTGTCTACACCTTAAAACTTTGCTTCTGTCTCTTCCTAACTGACTGGTGAGCTCTGCAGTACATTTCCTTGTATGGATTTGAGTGCCTTTTGTCTCTTCTTGTTTAATAAATCCCTCTTACAGTTCTGTGTAAGGCGGTCAGGTGCTATCAGGCCTGCCTGGATTACTGAATTTGCTCACTGGCTTGCAAGATCTTGTTATTGTTCTTCACGTTTATTTGCCAAAGATTACAGTACCCCTAATTAATAGTCATTTTTGAAAATACAGATCTTGCTTTTTGGTCTTTAGTCCACCCTGCAGCAGTCTAGTTAGGTCTCCATAATACATAAGAAGAGCAAAAGATGGAATATTAAAAAATATCTGTATGTTTTTAATAAAATGAAGAGAGAGTTGTGTATGCGAATCCATGTTCTGACCCAAAAGTCTCAGTTAAAATGCAATGACCCATTCCTCGCCCCAAACCAAAAAGTCAACCAGTGCAGCATGCCATGACAAACTTGATGCTAATGGCTTTTATAGAGAACACTCATAAGAGCACACAGGGTCATAAGAGATATGCTGCATATGGACAGTACATATTGCCTAGGCCTAATGTGGAATAACATGAGTCTTCAAGTAGGAGAAGAATCATAGCTTCAGGCTTTGAATTGTTTTTGTGTTGTCTTCTGATGTTAAGGAACCTGAATGCTTTCCCACCTGAGTAACTATTTAACCTCAAGGTTCTCATCTACTACGTAGAATTCTCTAATTTTTTAGCTATACTGGCTTCTACACTTGGCCAGGCTTTTTCTACATTATGTGCAGCTACGGAGGCACACTCCTGTATCTATTAAAAATTCCATCAATAGTTTAAGCTATTTATTGATGGCTTCTGACAGCTTTTTGTTTCTAAAATGCTTTAGTTATATGGTCATATAGAGTAACAATTCTCTGTAACTGGCACAAAATAAAATCTCCCCATTTCAGTGTTTCTGAGGCTACTGTAATCCTTTGGAGTTTGCCATTTTGATTAGTCCAGAATTACGCATGGATTCTTTACTACTAAAAATCTAGTCTTAAAATAAAAGAATGTGAATTCCGCAAGAGTTTTCTCTTCTTTTAAAAGGGTTGATGGCGGACTGATGAAAGGAGCATAGTAATATGTATGAGAAATGCTTTTCTTTGCCATACATTATGGCCCTTGGCAGCCTATACATGAACATTAAGCACTAAAGGTGTCTACGCCTTAGAGCGCCTTTCTAATGGTGATCTCTGCTGTTTGCGTATACTCAATTCCCCCCAAATGGGAATCTCTTACTGTGTCCTTATCTTAATAGTTACACATTTTCAGTGAATAATCACACTTTCAGGCACTTATAATATAATTACACGTATAGCCAACAATATGAAAGCCTTCCTTAACCTTTAGTTATGCTGTAAACACAATGCAGTCCATGACATTGAGCCGAGCTGGAATTTGCCCTCAAACTTAATAAATGCACAGATCTGATAATCACATACGTGTTTAGGAAAACTAGACATTAAACAGTGAAAGAAACATACCGACAGGATCCTCTGCAACAAGAGGCTGAGGGCATGTTGAGAAGTCCAGGGCCTGCGCGGTTCGCAGCTATCACACAGAACTCATTCTGTATCCTCCAGAAAACCATCCACTTTGAATCCAGTACCTAGAGACACACATGTTGCAATTACACAACTCTCTAACCACCCATAAAGGTTTTCCCAGTGGTAACTGATTTTTTAAAAATTTCTTATGGATTAAGATAAACCAAAAAGAAATTTCAGCTCACAGAATGCTGGAGTACAATATAAATTTCAGGGGTTCAGGGAGCCCTTTACCCAGGTCTAGCCTTCACTTCTCCACTGGTCTGCTAACTTTCATATCTCTCTCCCTAAGGAGGAGATGAAATTTTGATGCATGTAATATGAGGAAAAATGCATAATTTGCTTTCCACTAGATTATGGTCTGTAGCCTGGTATAATCATAGATGCTGGGGAAAAGTATCTTCATGTCTTGCTCCACACAAACTATTGAGTGGCCAACACTTTCACAATCTAGGCTTCAGGCAAAGGTTAATCCTCCATTCAATTTTGAAAAAAACCCCTCAGTAGGTGAATAATTTGCCTTAAAAAGTGCTTCTATTATTTACCATGAGTAGTGTTGGTGCTTTAAGGAGAATATTTTTTGATAGTGTGATCAATTGTAACTTAATTAATATGTAAGTCCAACATTTTGAATGAGACAGAGAAAAGAATCCAAGAAAGAACCAAAATATTAACACAAAAGGAAAAGCAAAAGTCTCGTTAGTCAGATGCTGCTGCTGATAGAGCACTCCCATGTGTTATCCAAGCTGTGCTAAGCATGGATCATATGGTCGCTATCTGATGGATACAACAAAATCAGTCACTTGTTTAATTCACTTCTGGTCTCAGTCAGGGAAAAGCAGTCAAATTTAGGTAGGGGGAAATGTAAAATAGAGATTAATGAAACTGGGCACCCAAATCCATAGGTGTGACTTTCACAGGTGCCGAGTGTTCTGCCCTCTCATCATTGCTTGTGGGTATCAAGCCATTTCTATTTGAGGGCTTTGAACAGCATATGTCAAAATGTGTATCTTGTTAGATGCCATGATGACATTTTCCTTGATTAATCAATACTCGGCTTTGCATTCAAAGCTTATCTAACTTTTCTTCTGCCTACATAAAACAGATAATAATCTTGGTCTGACCTTGGACTGGCTCCTTGATGACTGGGACACAAGGTTACATCACAGAAAAAAAGGAAGAAAGGCAGCAATCCTTGTACGGGGGAGCCTCCATCCTGGGCTGGGAAGTTCTAGGTGATGGTGACATCTTCCTTCCTGACATCTACAACTTGAGGCTGAGACACCTGTCTTGGAGGGTCTACACAGAAGAAAATCAAATTAGCACAGTACAATCAGAATTAGTTGTCTGCAAGTTGTATATATGTGTTATGTGTGTATGTATAAATATATATGTATGTATTTACAGCAAGAAGTCAAGAAGGGTAACTTGTATGTAAAGGTTTATTCATGGCCACAACCTTTTTCTAAAGACTCTTTCTTTACCACCTACTTCCCTTTGTCATTTCAGATCTTGAAACATTTAAATTCTTGCATTTATTCTGAAAATTAGTTCTTTCTGCAATGCATTACAAAGCCACTCAGAAATGCCTCCCCTGATCTATAGAAAGTTTGGATAAAAATTAGAAGTGTTAGATGAGAACTGATACAATTTAGTGATTTTCTTTCTGAAATGTTTCAATAGGCTAGACTCACTTTTTGCACTGTATTTTCTGTTGATACACTCTGGTCTTGGGGAAAGGGGACTGCAAATCCTTTTTCATTGGAGATCCCAGTCCGCAAAGGAAAAATGGGAACAAGACGTACTCAAACTATAACTCCCAGAAGACAGTCTAGCACCGTTTTCTAACCAAGTTAGTTTCTGGCTGACATATTTTCTTTTTTGGCTGCAAAACAACATGTTTTTAAGCATTCCCTTTTAAATTATCTTCCCTCCTCCCCCACATTATTTTCCACAGAAAGCCACTTTTCATTTCTGCCGTATCCCACTGAACTTATGCAACTGACACTAGAACAGTGTTAGCCAGTCCTCTCTCGTGGCCAGTCCACATCAAGGAGTTCCTGAATCCAAAACCACTTGCAGTGAAAGGACCTGGGTATTTGTTTGATCCTGGCTATCAGCCTAAGCACAAAGAAGCTTCTAAGTAAGATCTGTCCCTGGAATTTGTCCCCTGAAGCACAGGGGATGGTGTTCTTTTGGGGACTGGCAAGGAGCAAGAGGACAAAAATTATGGGAAGTGGGACTGTGAAACCACTAATAGGTTCTTGAGCAAAACTTTCCTCTGTTTCCAGGGGCTTGATAAGGCACTCAGAGTTTATAACATGTATTCTGAATTAGTAGGCTTTCCCTTCTTCCACTATCTCTGTAGCAAATGTGGTGTAGTTGTTCTCCACCACCCCTACTTTGATCTACACTTTTTTCTCCAGCCATCCTTCTCTCAATGAGGAAGTGAGTGACCTGCTTTCCTCCAATGCCTTTGGGTGCTTTCCATCTCATTTGACATCTTTCCCATATGTTCCAGGAACTCTACTTTCCCCTGTGGGGTTTCAGTTTGTCTGCCATGCGAGCAGCTGACCACAGTGACATGGAGGGCTATTATTTGGAGGGTCACACTCTGTCACAGTGTAAATCTCTGTAGCTCACAGCAGAACTAAACTGGCTTTAATCACTTGATTTGATAACTCAAGAATCTGCTCCACTGCATGATTTCTAAAAAGAAAGTCTGAATTACAGTGTCTGTAACCCAACTTATCTACCAGTGATTGTCCTGCTATAAAATGATTAATTTAGGACCTACTAACAAGGTTGAGCTAAGAATATTGTCAGAAGCCGAGCCAGAGTCGTTTTTCAGATTCAGTACAATGTCTCCGGTGTCTTCTCTTGCACAGGTTTTGATTGTAATGTAGTCGCTGGCTTTCTCCATCACCACTTTCTCTTCCTCTGTCACCTCAGTATCATCGTTGAAGCACCTGACTTTGGGCACTGGCTTTGCCTTGAAAGGCACCTTGATGCTTGCCGTACGCTTAATGCTTGCCATACGCTTAGTCTTCGCGGTAACGCTGTGTGCAGCAAAAAGCTCGAGGACTCATTCTTCAATAACGGGAGAATCTAGAAAGAACAGAAGACATCTGAAAGTTGCAGCTGCAAATATAGCTTGACATTTTTCCTGTGCCTGTGAGTTCCCAGAGAAGTTGGCCCAAATCTGGGCCCTTCATACACTCCATGGTTTTAATAAAAGAATCCTGTATTTTGTGAAAGTCTTCAGAGACACTCAAAATCTTTAGTGTGTTTTAATTCAGTTAATTTAGTTCAATTTCTTGTACTGGGAGCCAGCTGACATCTTTTAGTTTTTCAGCTCAGCAGAAAAAGAGGGACCTCTGGGAAACAGCAAGGCCCAAAGCTCCTCACTTCCCTAGAGCCTGGAGATTTGATTCCAGGCAGCTTCTAAGTTTTGCAAGGCACAAGAAGCCATCCTTTGTGGTGTCGTTCCCCAAGGCCACACTGGGATATCTATGATCGTGATGAAGATAGCGGAATCAAACTTAAGGTACTGCTTGTAAAGAAAATGCTTCCTTATTTGTTAGAGAGTCCTGCACACAATAAAATTGCCAGGTTCCTAAACACATTTGGTTTTCCTTTTATATTTGTCACAACGTGTGTATGTTTAGAAATTACCAGTTTTGCTGAAAGTCATAAAAAGGCATTCAGAAATATTTTTGACTGCAGGAAAATCAACCCTCCCTATACCAAAGCTTTGCTGTGGATGGGTTTTCATTGCAACACAGGTTATGAGAAATATTCTGTGCTGCAGCCACAGCATCCTTACTGCTGCATTTGCCCCACTGTCTGGGCAGCGGGATCTATCCAGCTTCAGCAGACAGAAAGGCTTATTGCCTGCTGCAGATGAGGCCGAACATCCATCTGGCGCCATCTGGTTGCCAAGAGCTTCGTAATACACATATTTATATATTTCTATATATATGATTTCAGAAAAGGTGTGTTTCTTGTTGCTCATGACAACAATGTTTGAAGTAAAGGCTCTAGCCAACATTCCTGATCACTGATTTATAAACACAGAAACCTATGCTTAGTCACTTAAAATCAATCAGTATGACTGTTCAATTTTCTCCCTTCGGGGAACAAAGACGCAGAAAGAAGAGGTTTTGCTCCTGCCTGTAAAATCGTCCAGGTGAGGAAAACTGGTGAAGCAGTGATTCTGCAAGCATCTGCGTACATGTGCTAAAGAGCAGTACGGAGATGGGGTGGCTACCTCCAGTGGCAACTGTCTCTCCAGTCTGCTTCCTTGGCTCTGAATATTTACGTCCCTTCATGCTCCTCTATTTTCTCAATGATGAGTTAATGGATGTCTCCCTGCTTCACTGTCTGGATCCCTTTCATGGCCGTAATCTGACAACAAGAATAAGGCAGCACATTGCAACAAACACCACCTCTGATGCTGTCCCTGGATCCTCTGATTAGTTTCCTGCTCGAAGATGACTAAGCGGTCAGGATTTCTAGCTCTTACGCTGCTAAAGATGCTCTGTGATCTATGGACAAAATAAATTCAGTGTTAGGTGGACAGAGTGATCTGTGCATCTGCATAGAGGAGCCACATAGCATGCATTGAAGGGTATGCATTAGCATGTAACGGATACATTTACAGATTACTCTGAAAATCAGAGACTGGGAGAGAGAGAAGAGTGGGTGGTGGGAAGACAACCTCGTGGGAAAGAATGTGAGTCTACAGGCTGAGAAAATAGGTTAGCAAATGGGAAACCATCTTTATAGGAGACTGGGAAGGAAGATTTTGAAAAAGCCAAGATTCAAAGCCAAAATTTAATAATACTGAGGCTGCAGTAGGCTAGGAAAGATTAGATTCGTTCTTGTCTGATCTGTCCAATCATTGTCTGTCTTTAGTCAAAAGCCCTTTATCAAAACCAGGCCAAGTCCCACAGTAGCTATTTGGAGAAAACTTCCCACTAGGGTTTTGCAGCCTTTCATTACATTGACAATAACACGGATGTTTTACCTATTTGCCATCCTTGAGCCATATTCCTTCCACTTTTGCATCATTCAGGACAACACAGAGCTTGGCAGGATCCCCAGTTAGAGCATGAACATCACATACATACTCTTCATAGTTGCAGATGTCTCTGGAAGAAATCCCAGTAGAAGCACGTGAACAGAAAAGCAGTGCAGAATGATTGTCAACTGAACACTTCAAACTCCAAAGAGGTATTTAACAGCAAGCGAGACCTCATAACAAAATGGACAGGCTCTCAGGACAAAAGCAGTTTAGTGAATTGGACATCATGGGGAAAAAAAGAGGGATGGAGAAAGGCTGTTTTTAAGCAGCAGGAGGGAACGCAGCTATAGGAACCCAAAACTGAAGCAGAACACAGCCTCTTGGCACTGCTCCAGACCCTTAGCTAGTCCGGAGGAACTGTCAAACCAGCTGAACACTTCCTATACCACACCTGAGCCTCAACTCCTCATGGGGAAAGATGAATCTGTAACTAAGGCACCAGACTACAATTCCAGTTTGCACAGGAGTCAGAGGCAGCTCAGCCTCACCTTTCCAGGTTACCTGTGCCACAGAAGTGGTGTCTGTCCCAGAGGAGTGGGCACAGAAGGCTCCTGCCCCACACTGTCTCTCCAGGCCACCCTGGCCATGGCCCACAGAGGACTCTCACATACCACCCACCCTCCAGGAGCCAGGGCTTCCTTGCCCACTGCCAGCCACGGACTTGCCAGGCATACAGCTGGAAAGCCCAGGGCTGGGGATGCCATCGGGAAACTGCTCCCTTCTGGTCTGTTTTGGGAAAACTGAGAAATATATGTCCAAAATGCAAATAAGAGAGTGACCTCCACCCAAGTCCACACACCTGAACAGGATCTGTGGGGTATAATCCAGCACAAAAAACGCAGACTATTAGGAAGAGACCAGCCTCACATCTGTCAGGGATGGGCGCTAGGGCAGATCAGTCTTCATGTGAGAAAATCTGCCTGATCTCACAGCTGCGTTTCTTTTGGCCTCTGAAGTTCCCTTCATACCATCCTACCAAATGAATAGTCTTGTTCCTGAACCTGTGAAGGATACACTAATGTAATTTTATCCTCCTGTGCAGTTCATTTTAAAATAGTCTTAGACTGCTGCACTTTTCATGGAAAGCACCTGCGCATAGTTCAAAGCTGGTCCACATCTAACAGAAGTAACCTCAAATACTAACAGTCACCAAAATCTACACTCCAGCTTTGAAATTCTTCTCCAGCCTATAAAGCACCTGCGCATAGTTCAAAGCTGGTCCCCATCTAACAGAAGTAACCTCAAATATTAACAGTCACCAAAATCTACACCCCAACTTTGAAATTCTTCTCCAGCCTATGCTGAGAACGTGAAGCTAAGCTTTCTAACCTTTTTTTTTCCCCTGCTGTCAAGAGCCTTGTGTCTTCCTACAAAGATCATAGACTTAGGTTTACAGCATCAATAATGCTACTGCAAAATTAATTCACAAAACAAATGTGACATCAATTATTTACCAGCCTCACGTTGTGCTGCTGGTCCTCAGCAGACTACAGTCAAATGTCCCGTGGGTCACTTTAAAGAATCAGGATAAGAATTCATTAGGACAACTCTGATTAAAATTAAAAAAAAAGTACACTTTACTAGGTTTAGGTGGTACAAGGACTTACAATGGCAGATTTACTGCTTTATGCTTCTACCACTTCATACAGCAAAGAGAAGTCCTTAATTATTACCTTCATGCTACCAAGAGGGGGCAGAGACTAACAGCTTATTCCACCTTAAACAATAAACAGGCTGCAGAGCAGTGTTACTTTGCATCAGTTTCCTAGCTGTTAACAGCAAAGCAGCGCTGCTCCTCTGCAGAGTTCACTGAAGGACAGCGTAAAGACTACTATTCCTCCTCCTCTTTCTCTCTTGAGCCATTCACACTTACCCTCCACAGTCACACGGGCACTGCTGTACTGCTCCTTAGGATCACTGTCCTGCATAGCGATCGCTGGGCAATCTCCCGAGTCACTCCGCTCAGCAGCACTAATGATAAGCTCTGCTCTCCTCCCTTCATCCTTCCTGGTGTACTTAGGAAACCTCCCCATCACTTGTCCATTCTTCATCCCCTTCAGGGTGACATCTTCAGAAGCCAGCACACACTCCAGGCTGGCTTTTCCCTTCTTTTTCACTTGAGTGTTCTTGAGATTGCTGACCAACTGAATTGGAACCCCTGGGAAAGGGGAAGGGGGTAGTAGGAAAAAATGGCACATACCAGCAAGCACCTTATAAATCAAAACAGGTGGCTTTACAGGATATAGCATGGGCTCCTGTGCAGGAAAGATGCTAGGCTTGGGACTTCACTTCCAGTGTGAAAATGAGGTCTTGATGTTCCTCTGCTTGCCTGTCCCCAGACTGGCTTTAGGAGACTGTGGCTTCCAGTTTTTTCAGCCCAGGCTCTGCAGCTTTGTGTTTTAGGGTTATGGATTTTGCAGCTCAAACCCACTGCCCAAAGATGTTTACTTTGCATTACTTATGAGCAATGAAGAATGGAGCACCTTGAACACTGTGTTCAGTTTTGGGCCCCTCACCACAAGAAGGACATGGAGGTGCTGGAGCAGGTCCAGAGAAGGGCAACGAAGCTGGGGAAGGGTCTGGAGCACAGGGCTGACGAGGAGCGGCTGAGGGGGCTGGGGGGGAGGCTGAGAGTAGACCTCATCACTCTCTACAGCTGCCTGAAAGGAGGGTGTAGTGAGGTGGGCGCTGGCCTCTTCTCCCAGGTAACAAGTGACAGGACAAGAGGAAACTGCCTCAAGTTGTGCCAGGAGAGGTTTAGGCTACACATTAGAAAAAAATTTCTTCACTGAAAGAGTGATCAGGCTGCCCAGGGAAGTGGTGGAGTCACCATCGCTGGAGGGGTTCAAGAAACATGTAGATGTGGTGCTTCGGGACATGGGTTAGTGAGTTGGGTGGTGTTGGGTTGACAGTTGGACTTGATGATCCTTGAGGTCTTTTCCAACCTTTATGATTCTATTAAACAATTTACCAGCAGTCTTGGTTTTTTGTGTTAAAGACAAAATATGTGGGTCTAGTTTTCAAACAGTTAAACATTCAACAAATATTGGTGTTTGAGTCAGTCCCCAGTGCTCCTTTCACACCTCAGTGAAACAGCCAGGCTTTGGCTTTGTTGATGTTTAAGTTATACAGGGAGAAGTTTCCACCATTTCCAAGTCCAGCCCGTTCACTCGGTTCAAGCAGGGAATAGGCTCTTTGGAAAATCATTCATGATGTTACATTACAGAGGGCATTCTTTAATCAGTTCTCTTCTAGTCCTTAATAAGCCTGAGATTGTCACCCTTCTTCATACAGAGGATGCCTTCATTCCCAATAAGTGAGGTGCTTCTCAAGAGGAGAATGAATTACAGATCTCAGCCCGTGTATTTAGCTCTCTTTCACTTTACTTGTGTTAACAGCAGCAGTGCTGAAACAGTGCAGGTACAAGAGGCTGCTTTATGTGTATACGGGTCTATCCATTCTGAAGGACACAAACTACATATCTTGCTTGCAACAAAGGCTGAACTAGCAGCAATAAACTGCTTCTCTTACCTGATCGCATTTGATTTCTGTTTGGAACAAACTGCTGTTATCCATTTTCTATTTATGTTAAATTCAAACAAAAAGGGAGTGTCTATGCAGGAGGCACCTGGGTTATGCTTTGCAAAACACAGGAACATAAAAAAACAGAACACTAAAGGATATCAAAATGTAGGCAACTTCCAGAGGCTAACAGGAACAATTCTAGGGGTAAACTCCAGAAAAAGCAACAGCAAAACCCCTAGGGAATATACCAGCTTTCCTGATGATTTCTTATGATTTCTGGTAGTTTAGGAAAGAAAAAGGAAGGTAAAAAAGTTAATAAAAATCAACAAAAAAAAAGTGCAGAGGCTGAAACATTGTCAACTTTTCCAGTGAGCAAAAAATATAGTATACAGACAGCAAAAATAAACACATGCTGTAGTGCACAGGTGAAAGAGGGATACCAGCACGACAGGAGGCTCTGTGCTTCCTTCTCTAGAAGTTAATGTTATTATTAACACAGATGCATTTATCAAATCAGAAGTGCGTGGAAATGGGATTGTTCATGCTGTAATGTGAATAAGATGTTATTTATTGCTTGTCTAATAAATCTATCCAGGAACCAACCTTCACATACCTCTTCAATAGCCTAATTCAGAAACAAGAGCCCAACTTAGACACAGAAAAACCTGGTATCTGGGCTAGAAGTCACATTTTCCCCAACAAAAAGAAAACGTCAACCCAATCCAATTCCTCCCACCCATCCAAACTGACTCAAAAACCAGGCAGTCCCTTTCCATGCTCATTTCCCAGTCCTCGTGAATCCTCCCTCATGCTTCTGTTCTTACACCAGCTACTTTGGCATGTTGAGTGGACATGTGTGCACGCACACACATGTATGTACACTGCTGCGGAGGAGAACCAATGAATATGAGTGAGAAAATCTTTCAGTCTGGATCACTAAGCCTGGCCACACTGACAGACATAAGCCTCAGAAAGGGAAGGAGTGACTCCAAATGATCTCTTCATTACCCTGACCTTTGTGATGCTTGAGTGTTTGCTCTCCATACTCCTCACAACAGCCTGGAGACCAAAAGATGACAGGGGATGTAGTGAAACCAATTGCATCTGGTTTTCCTTCTTTTGAGACAAAAGGAGTCAAAGCTAATTTACAAGAGGAGGTTTCTGTTCTGCCTTGTTAGTCTTGACTTAATTCCTCACAGTCTTCCCTGTGTCCACTTCAGAGGCAAACAAGCTAAGCAGGCAAAGGAGAAAGAGCGAAGTATCTATGCAGGGAGGGAAAACCTTCTGATCCCTGGAGGGAAGTGTTGCCTTTGCCTTTTCAGCAAAAAGCAGACATCTTGCAGCTGCTTACTGGGACTAGGGGAGTTAAGGTCAGACATAGTAAGAAAACTTTGACTCAGACAAACACTATCATTTACCAAAGGAGAAATGCCTTTAGTAAGATGCACAGTACTGCCAGATTCTCAGATGTATTGAGATCAAAAGGTAGGCAGAAGACGCTGAGTCCTCTGAAGAGTGTCTGGCAAGCCAGGCTCTCTCCAAGTAAAGAGATGATCCCTGGAAAACACTGGCTACCAACATATTGGATTAAAACTAGTGCAATACAGTGACTTATTTAACTCTATTTTAAACCTAAGCAGCAACAGGCAGATAAGAGATAAAGAAGCAAGAGGGAACACAGAAGTTGAGTAGCATGGTCGAGTACAGAGAACAGCCCAGGAACCGCAATACCCAAGTTCTCTGCCAGACTGTTTAAGCTTTATCTTCTTAAATGCTCTGAGCCATATTGCCAGTTCTGGTGCCAACATGGCTTTTAATTCTGAGTAAATAATTTAGCCTTTCTCTGCATTCATCTTTGCTATCAACTGAATAAACCTGACACTGCTGCCCTGCTGAGGATTACATGGTGCACAAGCTTGGGGAGGTCGTCTACATCGAAGTTAATTGTACCCCCTTCTGTGACTTTCACACCATGCCATGAGAATGTGACATCTGTTGTATTCGGGTACTAGAGCCTGATATGTACCAGTACTCAGAGGAGAGTAGACTCTTCTCTTTCCTTGCATGTAATAGAAGGAATTCAGCTCTTCGTGAATATGTGAAATTCACTTTTTGACATTAGAAATCAATGCTTGTGTTGTCCAGAGCATGAAGTTCTTTGACTGCCTGTCCCTTACACACAAAGCTGCAAAGGCTGCTTTCATTCATGTATTTCTTCTGTGCTTTTGAATGGAGTATTTTTTTTTTCTCTTGCAGGGCTCCTGAGCTGCCCTACATTATCCTGAATTGATAATCACTCTTGCAGACATCAGCAAATATGCATCTACAGACTTGGCAGAAGAAACAAGGTTATCTCCAACATATCTCAGAAAAAGTGTTTTAACAGATTGTAAATTTACCATTTTCTCTTTGTTTAATATGGTTTCAGGAAAGAACACAACAAAAATAATAGTACAGGTCCGTTTCTAAAGCTTGCCAACTCAACAATCAACAGACATACCCTTTCTAAGACCACCTGTGCGCAAGCTGCATAGTTCCTCCACTGCAGAGACAGCAGGGGAGAGACAGGAACCAAGGTCCCATTTACTGATCTCTTCAGTCTCAAGATTTCTTGCAACTGCAAATTCACAGGTTAAGGATAAGATTTTCCAAAGTAGACTAATTACAGAGGAAAGGTCCAGAATTGCAGGACTTTCAAAAGTAGCTAACAAGTAAATGCGACACTCTACCATACATGACTGCTAGGTAGCTGACATTTGCTTTACCTGGTGACAGCTCTTGCTCTCAAATGCAATCTTAGTTTTTGTTTTCACATAGCCCTGTATATCTGCTGATCTCAGTACCTACCAAAAGGACAGTGTGTCATTAGTCTATTACCATTACAGAAACATAAACAGGATAACTCTGCTTAAGTGTGATGGCTAAAGACAAAACAACCAGCAAACAAGTCAGGCATTGAGCTAGACTCTGCCCTGTTCAAAAAATGTGGAAGAGTTTATGAAACAGAAGACACCACAGCTGGTTCTAAATAAAATAATCTCAAATTTGTTATATGCTAACCTACCTGGAGAGAGGAATTCAGTCCTCTGGGAAACAACTGTGTTGTAGGTATTAATGCTGTAGTCTCTGGTACAGAGAGGCCTGGGCTGTAAGCTGGAGAGAGGGGATGAAGTGCTAGGAGTTTTAATAGAGAACAATGGCCCAGTAGAAAGAGAAGTCTAGTAAGACACATAGCTTATCTTAGTTCCTATTGTCAGCTCAGTTTCAAACCTACTGATTACAGAAGAAGCAGCCCCACTCATCTCAAGTGCATCTGCATGGCCAGAGCTCCTTTCTCCTAATCCTAAGCACTTCTTAAGACTACCTCTGCTGTCAGAAGAGATCAGAACGCTGCCACAAGGTCCTTCAGAGAGACAGAAATGTTAATTACAGTAAGGCCCAAGAGTAAACAGGAGGATTGGCTCCAAATCTGTTAGACAAAATAACATTTCAAGAGGCATTTGAATATTTTGATCTTGACCAAGTGGCATGCTCTTGCCTGGTGCGAGACAGCAGCAGTGCAGCCCTCGCTACCAGACTGTGCAACTGGGCTGACATTTCACAGAATGTTAGAGATTGGAAGGGACCTCGAAAGATCATCTAGTCCAATCCCCCTGCTGGAGCAGGAACACCCAGATCAGATCACACAGGAACGCATCCAGGCGGGCTTTGAATGTCTCCAGAGAAGGAGACTCCACACCCTCTCTGGGCAGCCTGTTCCAGTGCTCTGTCACCCTCACCGTGAAGAAGTTTTTTCTCATATTCAAGTGGAACCTCCTATGTTCCAGCTTGAACCCACTGCCCCTTGTCCTGTCACTGGATGTCACAGAGAAGAGCCTGGCTCCATCCTCCTGACACTCACCCTTCACGTATTTATAAACATTAATTAGGTCACCCCTCAGTCTCCTCTTTTCCAGGCTAAAGAGACCCAGCTCCCTCAGCCTTTCCTCAGCAGGGAGATGCTCCATTCCCTTCATCATCTTTGTGGCTCTGCGCTGGACTCTCTCCAGCAGTTCTCTGTCCCTCTTGAACTGAGGGGCCCAGAACTGGACACAATATTCCAGATGCGGTCTCACCAGGGCAGAGTAGAGTACATTTGCTTTGTACTAGTGCACTGATGCAAAGCAGCCTGATTTTATCAGTGACCACTCTCTCAGGACATTCCACATATGCAGAATGGGAGTGGACAGCAGGCTAGATCTCCTTCATCAGTATAAATCATTCACTTCTACTCAAGTCAGTGAAGCACTGCCAACTAATACCTGCTGAGGATTGGCACATGGACCTCAAAGTCAGTATCTTAGAGCTCTCTATACCTTATTTGTCATAAAGCAATTGTCCTCTATATAAAGTCCACTTGTACAGGAGCCAACTTATACATTGAACTTCGCTCCTAAATGCACACTCCTATCAATCACCAACAAATATTCTCCAGCAGATGCACAGGAAGCTGATGACAGAACAAGTAATTTTATTCACTGAGTCAGTTTTGACACTGAAGGGCATTGAACAGTTTAGAACATCATTTATAGGGAGTTCCACTTACAATGTTATTCAGAACATCAGTGGTGCTTTTGTTATTTCTAAGGAGTCCTTAGATGGAATAGTGTTACCCCTTTGAAAAAATCAGTAGCAATAGGGAAAATATAGCTAGCAAGGTTTACATAAAACTAACAGTCATGTTATGCTCAAAAGCTTAAGTTTATTGCTCTATTTAATGACTACCACCAGTATTTTTAAAAAGAATGCCAGTCCTTCCTGCTAGCTTCTCACTGAAGGAAATATTTTAAATACAGCAATAAAATCAAGTGGTTTAAGATAACATTTTGTCCTCACATTCATGCAAACCCTGCTGACAGGATTTTTACAGGTTCATGGACACAGAATGAACACAAAGGATGTGTACTGAAATACTGGGAAACTTTCCCCACAGTGATGAAGTTGTAGGCATAACATTTCAGGCCCTACACCCTGCAC